TTCTTTCTTTCTTTCTTTCTTTCTTTCTTTCTTTCTTTCTTTCTTTCTCCCTCTCTTTCTTTCTTTCCTTCTTTTCTTAAATTCTTTGCTTCGAGCTAACGTGTAGGCCCTTCGCAGACTGCGGAATCCTTGTGTTCCGGGCCTCGGGGCTGTGGGGAACTCTAAGAGGGACGGACTGGCCGCCCATGCAGTTGCCTGGTAACGCCCGCAGAGTCCCGGTGTAGCGTCCACCAGGGCTGGCGTCCCCGCCAGTCCCTCGGACCCGGGGTCCCGTTTCCCCGCCGCAGCGGCTCGGCCTCGCCTCGACCGCCACTGGCCGACAGTGCGGGGAACATGCTGCAGGAGGAGGAGGATCTGTCCCTGACCATCGCCCATATTGTTCAGAAGCTCAAAGGCTCCCGGCTCTATTCGCAGCTGGAGCGCCAGGCCTGGGTGAGTGACGGCTCGGCCCGGCCCGGCCCGGTCCTGTCCGGGGACTTCCCGGCGTTGTCTGCCCTTCTTTGTTGCAGTGTCCACCTCAGGGTTTCCGAATCCAGGGGCCGCGCCTTTGTCCCCTTCCGCCTGCTGGGTGGCAGCGCGGGTGGGCCCTGGAAGCTGAGTCTGCTGCCCTGGAGCCTCGGGGGCCTCTTTGTTTATTAATCTGGGGAAGAAGGGGAGGCAAGTGCATTCATTTAATTGCATTCCCGCGAAAAGTCCGGGCTCGGGGGATGGATGAATGGAGGGGAAGGCGGGGCGGGCGGTCACCTTTGCTTGTCGGTCCAGTCCACTCCCGGTGCAACCTCTCAGCACCTTCCCCTATTCGTTTTACCCCACTCGCCGACAAGATGTTGCATCTTATTAAGAACACATGTAATTCTTTGATTTAAAAAGGAAAGACTGATGCGTGTGTTTGAATCTGTACTTTGAGGTTGTAGGCAATGAAATTTGTGAATAGGTGAAGACGGCAAGGTCATTCAGTTTTTGCTCAACTCTTTCTAGATAAATTTTAAAGAAAAATCTGTCTGCCCTTCGAATATTTGCAGTTCTGTCCCTCCTTTGAACCTTCAACAAATCCCCAGTTTTGCTTTTGAATTATAGAGCACTAAATTTCCTTCAGCTCTTTTAAAAGTACTTGGGTTTGCAAGCAGGGAAGATTACCATACCATTTGCATGTCCTGTATAAACTTATGTTTATTCATTTGTGTCTGTCAGTAAACATTTGTTAAGTAGCTTAAAAATATTAAGCTTTGGCCTACTGTGTACCGGGCACTGTGCTAAGCCCTAGGGATACAAAGAGAGGCAAAAGACTATTCCAGCTCTCTAGGACCTCACAGTGCAATGAGGAAAACGATATGCAAAAAACTATTTACGAACGAGCTATCCACAGAATAAATTTGGGAAAGGCTTCCTGTGGAAGGTAGGATTTTAACTGGGACTTGAAGGAAGCCAGGAGGCAGAAATGAGAAGGGAGAAAATCTCTGGTGTTATGTTTGTTTTAAAAAAAATTTTTTTATTAAATTTTTAAAAAATTAATTTTAAAAAGGATATGAGATGTCACTAGTAGCAGTGCCTCGATTTTTTAAAATTAAAAAAAAAAACCCAGGACTGCAGAAAAAAATGAAAATCCCGTGAAGATTAGGTAGAAACAATTTCAGGAGAGGACTGGTAATATACCAGAAGAATAGGGTCCATGGGGACATGGGAAACACTTTATTTGATATTTAATGAAAGAGGTAGATACAAGATGTCCCAACAGTCATAGGGCAGTTTTAAGCTTTAATATAGCTTAAAAGCTTGAAGTTTTACGTTTTACTAGTTTAAAACTGCCCTATGACTTTTGGGACAGCCCTCATGCAAAATGTATGGTACTTCCTGTTGCACTGTTTTGGGAAGTGGGCACCAGGTCTGTGACATGGTAAATAAATGCCATACTAGAGAGGCATTACTTGAGTACAGATTTAACTTTTAAATTTTATTTAGTTTTAATGGCTGCTTAATCTAAAAGCTGTTGTCTTTCTGTTGCTCTAGTCTGGGAAGAGCTCTTGGGCTGCAAGGGCAATTGCAAGGCAAAATGGGCGTACTCTTTAGTCTGGACTGTATCAAAGTGTTGAAAGCACCACATTTCTGGCCTTACTGGCTTAGTTTCCTTTCCTCTTGTGGAACCTTTATGATGATAAACTCTAGGCTTTCTTCGGACTCGGAGAAGGAAGCACATGCAGCGTCTGCCGTTGCTTGGTAACGCAGAAGCGTCCCTTTGTTAAAAGGGTCCTGGAGAAGTTTCTGTCGAGCTGAGGTGGACCCAGTGGTTTTTGTCCCCACCTACTGCCTTTTCCCAACACCAAGGGAACATGCCGCAGGAAGGGATGGATCTGTCTCTTATTATTGCTCACGTTGTCCAGAAGCTCAGAGGCTCCAGGTCAAGCACTCAGCTGGGATTTCAGGCTTCAGTAAGGACGAGAGGAAGGCTGAAAATTGTTGGGACTTTTCTTTCCCACTCTGTGGGAGTCCCAGACTTGTAATATTAAATCTGACATGAGGTCTTTTTTTTTCCCATCCCAGATGCAGGGTACCACTTACATATTATTGCTAGCCCATCTCAAGTCTTGGACTTTGGGTTTATTTGGAAGTGAAGTTCATTTCATGATTTGAAATTTAATACAAGACTTACTGTTTCCTGTAGCATCATTTCTGTTTTTAGTACCAGGGTAAAAAGATAGAAGAATTTAAGCATCTGTCATTTAAAGTTTTTAAAATGTTGTGAAATTGTTTAATAGGTTCTTCAGAGAGACATTTTTAGGACTACCTGTGTATGTAGTAGCATGTATATTATTTATGTATCCATGTACATCCTTCTTTACACTTAAAATCTTTTTCTTGTTTTAAAGAAAAAAAATCTGAATTTTTCTGTTTTTCCAAAACTAGGATTCCATCAATTATTAGCTGTTTTCTAGGTTTTAAGATCTTAGTTTTTTTTTTAAAAATTGTTCTAAGAAAATATGGCAATGACAATGAAAATACAACATTTTCTCTCCCTAATATTAGCTTTACCTACAAACTCACAGTAATCTCATTAAACTTATTTAAAAGTATATTTGAGGGGCAGGTGGTTGGCACAGTGTATAGAACACCAGCCCTGGAGTCAGGAGGACCTGAGTTCAAATCTGGCCTCAGACACTTGACACTTACTAGCTGTGTGACCCTGGGCAAGTCACTTAACCCCATTGCCTAGCCAAAAAAAAAAAAAGAAAGAAAGAAAGAAAAAGAAAGTATATTTGATTGTAACAAGTTAAGTGGAATAAAAATGTCACCAAGGAAAAATCCTAAATGTGCATACTTTGACTTAAAAATGACACAACATGGATTTGGAAAATATCACTTTAGTTCACTTATACAAGCAGTGATATTGTAAATAAATCAGATATACCTGCATGGCCAAATCTGTATTTTTTAAAGATAATTTGTCTTTATTAACCAATCATCAATCATTTATTAAGCATCTACTGTGTGACAGGCTCTTTCTCTCTCTCTCTCTCTGTGTGTGTGTGTGTGTGTGTGTGTGTGTGTGTGTGTGTGTGTGTGTAAGTAACTGACTGAGTGCAGTGGAGACAAAGACAAAAGTGAAACAGCCTCTGACTTCAAGGAACTTATCTTCTTTCAGGGAGACAACTTACTTGTTTACAAAATAGATTTAACATAGATACAAGTTAACTTTGCGGGGTAGACACTAGTAGCAGGGGAAAGGCTTCATGTAGAAGGTGGCATTGGAACTGAGCAAATAAAAAATTCTAAGGGGTAGAAGAGGTGAGGAGAGTCAGTCCATTCTGGGTCTCAAGACAGGAACTGGATGGAGCACCACCTGGGAGGAATACACAGTGAGAAGGCTGGTTTGGCTAGACTGTAACATGCAGGAAAGAGAATCAAATGTAATAAGACTGGGAAAATAGACTCAACTGGTGAAGACTATGGACACCTCAGAATAATTTTTTAATGAACAAAATAAAATACATAGAATTGCAAAGGAATCAGTTATAATGAAATAAGGCATTGTTTTCCATCTAAGTTGACTGACTCCCTGAAATCCACTGACAGACACCAGTAAGAACCCCTGACTTCCACACATACTGGAGGAAAGTGTCTAATGTGATACCATCTCCTATTTTTAACGTAGCACATGTTCTGGACTTATTCTCTCAACCTTCTCCAGCACTAGAAGGTTAGATCTTCAAAAGACAGCTGTTATGTGCACCCTAAGAATTCTAGGCATAGTATTGATGGGTTGGAGAACGTTTTTCTAATGCTGTAGCTCACAAGGCCTCACTTCTGTACTCCCCCCCCCCCCCCCATGACTATCAGTTGATACCAGTTAGTTAGCTTTTGGAAACTTAATTAACTTTTTTTTTTTTTTTTGCTTTTTGGTGAGGCAGTTGGGGTTAAGTGACTTGCTCAGTGTCACACAGCTAGTAAGTGTCAAGTGTCTGAGGCCGGATTTGAACTCAGATCCTCCTGACTTGAAGGCCAGAGCTCTATCCACTGCATCACCTAGCTGCCCCAAAACTTAATTAACTTTAAAAAAAAATTTTTTTTGTTTGTTTGTTTTTGTTTGTTTACTTGTTTTGGCTAGGCAATGGGGTTACGTGACTTGCCCAGGGTCACACAGCTAGTAAGTGTTATGGGTCTGAGACCCAATTTGAACTCAGGTCCTCCTGAATCCAGGGCCAATGCTCTATCCACTGCACCACCTAGCTGCCCCAAAAAATCTTTTTTAAAATTTAGCTTTTAGGCAGGAATATTGACTAAGGTAGTTTAGGAAGAATATTTAGTTCCATATATGTATGTGTATATATATATATATATACACATATATATGCCACATACACATATGTATACATTCTTTTATATATTTGTGTGTCATATATATACAGATAGACTTTTATGTATATATGTATATATGTATATATAATATACATAAACATACACACAGTTCACCCCAAAGTCTATAATGCTTTCTCCAAAGTACATCTGGAGTTCAAGGGAAGTGGGCTCAAGCTTAGAATGCCCATATGGCAAAGGGGTGGTTCACAGCTCCTAGTTGCTGGCCCTTTTCTCCCTGTCATGGGCTGTGCATGAAGTCCCTCCCAAGCATGCTGTAACTTTGTGCCGGACTCTTTGTAGAGTCCTGGTGCTTTTTCTTAGGTGTATGTCTAGTTTGTGTTGGCTCCTGATGAAGAAACTACTACCTATCACTGACTCAGGAACCTGTTCTTTCTGGTTCATTCAATCCAAATTTATCATCCAGGCAAGAGTCTTGTAGCTATTATCTACTGTCTCCCAGGACACTTTCCTTCTTTGTTTAATGAGTTCAAGCCTGGTTCATAGTTTATGACAACTCCTGCCCTCATTCTAGAGGACTTCAACATACTTATTGATGCTACCTCAAACACCCTATCTTCTCA